TCTCTCTCTTTCTCTCCCTTTCGGTGCTCTCTCTCTCCGCTCGCGCAACCCCATCCCCCTCCGGTTTTTATGCACAGCCAGTGGCTTCTCAAAGCCACAGCCGCCACCACAGTCAACGATCGGCCTCGAGACCGGTCTAGTTTGAACTGCCGTCACCCGACCATCACCAACGTTAGCCACCGCCGGAATCTGCCGGAAAAAGCTCAGAATTGCGCCGGTTTTGACAGAAACTTTGCTAGCTTCGTTCTCCGTCGTCCGGCCACCAATTTCGGCAAGTGAGGTATGGTTTCTCACCTATTTTTCATAATCTAGCTGATAGTTGGGTAGGATTTCATCAATTTTGAGTGTTGATGGTTCGATTTATGAATTGAAATTCAGCCGATTTTGGGATCGCGATTCCAGCCACTTCCGGCCATTTTTAGGGTAGGCTCAAGAACAAAAGTGACTCCAAATGGGGTTTTACACCTAGGATAGGGAGCTTGACCTGCGGATTGGAGTTTTTCCGGCCGCCAGAAATTACTCAAGGCACCCACGCACTGTCGGCGCGTGGGCTAGGAAAATGGACCAGCTTTAGGTTCTAAAATGATCTCCTGGTTCTCACGAACGTGTAGGTGTGATCGGATTTCTATTTGGTTACCATTTGAGAGTCGAACGGATATCATCTATTATGCGTTATCCGGTTTTGATAGTTTTGGACCGTTGGATTGACTCCAATTTAATATATGTTAACCTGGACATCCTTAGAATCGTGTAGGATTCGACGGATCGTAAAACGGAGTCTCGGATACTCCAAAAATGCCAACCCTAGGGCTAGGGTTTTAGTAACCGTCTGATCGTGCGATCGTGAGCGATCTGACCTTCCGATCTGGACCAAACTTGCAAGACTTGTGTCCTAGACCTTGTAGAACCTATAGAAACTTTCAGATCGGAATTTGGAGGTCGTGTACCTCGTGGGCCGTTTGACCAAGGTTGGGTAGTTTGACCATCGGTTGACCGTGAGACTTCCTAGGCAGTGTTACCTTCTTAGGAAGATTAAAATGACCATAATGACAAGCCGTGATTGTATGTTGGTTATGTGGGATTAGGATATTAGTTTATTGTTGAGGTGTATACAATATTAGAAATTAATATATATATTTATGTGTATATATAATGGTTTAAAAAAAAAGTGTAGAATGTCAGTTTGAAGTGCTATACGCACTACCCTATGTACCTTCCTGGATATTGATTACACATAAGGACCACCCTATGATTGTAAGGTCCCACGTGTCGTAGGATTATCCGGCGTGCAGATAGACCCCATATGTGACGATGGTAGTAGTACCGGCATATGGAGGGATTTTGTGATATTGTGTTGAGGTCACACGTGTCGTAGAAGTAGCCGGCGTGTTGACAGACCCCATACGTGGCGTTAGTATATCCAACGTATGGGGAGATATGTGATATTGTGTTGAGGTCGCATATGTCGTAGAAGTAGCCAGCGTGTTGACAGACCTCATACGTGGCGTTGATATATCCGGCGTATGGGGAGATATGTGATATTGTGTTGAGGTCACAGGTGTCGTAGGAGTAGCTGGCGTGTTGACAGACCCCATACGTGGCGTTGGTATATCCGGCTTATGGGGAGATATGTGATATTATGTTGAGGTCGCACGTGTCGTAGGAGTAGACGGCGTGTTGACATACCTCATACGTGGCGTTGGTAGATCCAGCGTATGAGGAGATATGTTTAGTTGTGATTTACAGAAAAAATGGTTTTAGAGGAAGAACTACGTGTGACTTGATCCCTAGTTGAGGGCACGTATGCCACCTAGAATTACTAGGTGCAGCCGCGGGTTAAACTTTATGTGTGTTTTATTGTATGTGGTGCGAACCTTGTCGTTGGTCCTGAAATTTGGGTGAAAACGAGATGCGTTTATGATAGGAGGTTAAAACCTCGTTTGTAAGATATTTGGAGAAGTTATTTTATGTTGATTTTGGTAGGCGTTCATAATTTAGTTTTGAGTTTGTTATATGCAATGTTTAATGCATTAAATTGATTTAAGAACAGTGCTGGCGGTTCTGTTTCGAATCATTTGAAGGACGAAGGCCGTTTATATGAATTGAATGAAATTATATTGTGAGTGTTGCCTGTTGGGATATTAAATTGTGAATTTTGTGCAGGTTGAAACTTGGGGAATGTTCAATTTATATGGGAGACTCTGCCGAAATTTTCGGTAGAAAATCTCGAGCCCTTAGTCCTCTTTGGCAAAAGATGACATAGTTTTAGTAGGTAGGCCGACATCGGGGTGATGTCGGGAATTCCACAGGATTCGTCCTGGGTTACGAGAAATTCGAAGCGGGTCCTGTCAACTTGAGTTCTTGATCAGTTGACACGAACAGTTGTTACAATGTCACAGGGTAGGGGCCAGAGTGAGACTTCTAACATCGAAAAAGCCAAGAAATTCGGAGCTCCTACCTATTCAGGAAGTGCGAAACCGACAGAGGACGAATATTGGTTCATTAAGTTAGAAAAAGTGTTTTGAGGTTATGAGGTGCCCCACTGAGGATCGAGTTTCGTTGGCTACTTTCCTCTTGAAGGTGAATCCTTTTTATTTGGGGGAAACTGCTCGACAAGATTACCATAATCCTACTGCCATTCTTTGGGCAGAGTTTGAGCAGATCTTGTATAATCAGTTCTACCTGCATTCTTATCTAGATACTAAGCGAGCCGAATTTCTAAGGTTGATCATGACTCAATGATTATGTTGGAGTATTGAAGGGTAAGTAATTGCAGTCACAACTGTCTGAACCATTTCCATAACCCTCAGCCGATCGAGTGGCGAAGACACTTAGTCCACCTGGTGCGGCGAGACGACAACGAGATAAGACGAGCTATGGCAGAAAAGTCCGGGTTCATTATAGAGAGATGGTTTTAGTTTTGGTTCTTGAGGTAGTGTTTGGTCAGGGGGATTCGGATCAGGTTCTGGAAATGAAAAATCTGGACCCATGCCAACTTGGGGTCAGAACTCAGATTAACAATCAGTTTCTAATACATTTCAAGATTCTTCACAGTCAAGTGGATATCGAGACTTGCAGAGTGGGTCAAGCCAGCAGTTTGGCAAAGGTTGGACACTTTAGGACACTTTAGATGCCAAAAACCGGTTGCAGTATGATTGCCAAAAAATGGGACACCTTGTTCTAGAATTCTAGAATTATTTGTTTTCTTCTGATGGTGGAATTATGGGTGATGAAGTTTTTTGCTTCTGTCAAGAACCGTGTCTCCTAAATGACTCAACGTGCGCTCAATTTGCCTTTTACAAGAGAAGATGTGGGGTTGGAATTACATTCTATGGCTCCAATGAAATCTCTTGGTCCTGATAGGATGCATGCTTTATTCTACCAGCATTGGGATGTTGTGGGGAATCATATCTGCCAACTATGTCTGACGTGCCGATTTCCCAACAACACCACTAAAAAGTAAAATACAAATAAGAGTTATGGCATTAAATCTCATATTGCAAGAGGGGCACTCGCACGAGCAAAAATGGTTGTTTCCGCTCAGCAACCTCATTCTGCTAAGGAGTGTATGGGAAGGATCGTTGGAAAAGCGCTTTGTAAGTGAAGTGAGTTGAAGCAAGCAGAGTTCGGAAGGTAGCGGAGATATACCCAAGAATCAGAATGGAAAACCTTGATTTTAGTAAATTTTTCATGCGAAGCGAGCCTCACTAGTAGCGCTCCTCCCTTTTTCAACTGGCGTCAAATCAAAGCTTGACTAATAGGGGCGCGCTAGCCCATAACCTAGGTTGGTTGGGAAAAGCCCTTTCTATGTTATAAGCCTAAAAAAAGTCCTTACAGAAAGCTAAATGGAAGTGATAGTGTTGTTAGGTTTAATCATTCTCTAATTGCTCTAAATCTCAATTACTATGTCATAGTAGTTTTTCTTTGTTAGATCGTGACCGACATTGGCCCCCCTCTTAGGATGGTTATTTTAAAATTAACGTGGATGGTGCTTTGGATTCGAGGGATGGAATGTGGGGTATTATTTACCAAAAAAAAAAAAAAAACAAAGTCAATTACTTTGTAATTGCATATATTTTTCATAATTAAAAATAGGTACACAATAATTTATATAAAATATAGGTACATTATTTACCCACATGTAAACTATTTTATAATATACATGTAAATGTGTATAGGTACATTATTTGGAATAGATAATTATGTACACTTTTCATACTAGGTAAATTATGTTTTTCATAAAACAAACAAGTAATAGGTACATTATTTTTTCAACATAATTAGTATGCACAATTTTATTCATAAACAATTGTAAAGTGGATTATTAGTCATGTATAATTCATAAAAATAAAATAGCATAAACATTTTATTAAACAAACCGATTACCTAAATTTGAATTTATGGTTAAATTTTTTAAAAAATGTTTCAAAATTAATTCCTACATCCATTACAACCATTTGGAGATCTTTCCAAATTCAACATATATCATTATATACAATCCAATTAAAAACTGTTTCCATATTGATTCATACATTAATATACAAAATGCAATAATGGCTTAGTTGGGGGTATTTTTGGTCAATTTTATCCCCGTAGTTTCAATTTTGTCAATTTTATCCTCGTAGTTCAATTCATAGCAATTCAAGGACACATTTCAATTTCTATCAAATTCCTCCAAAATCTGTTGCGTATTTCAGTCCACTCAACCCATTTTTTGAGTATTTCAAGGACATTGTGAACCCATAAACATTTCTTGACTTGTTAGTTTTGGTTGGACAACTAGGATTCAACAAGGCTGAGCTTGATCATGGGAGTAAATCTCATGTTAGTGCACTTGGATGTGTGGATCCCTGCTTTTTGATATTTTGAACTTAAATTATGTAGTGGCTTGAGGGAATGAATTGGTTGCAGTAATAATTCTTTGTGGCAGACAAATGAAATGCAAATGTGGTAGCTGTGAGACTTCAATACAATACCTACAGTAGACTTGATTTTTATTCTTAGTTGACTTGACCCTTGTTTTCATCGCCATCACCATGATCAACTTTCTTGCTCTTGAGCATGGCGTTGGCTTGTCTCCACTTATGGTATTTACCAAACAAGACCTCCATTTCTTCGAGGGTTCTGCCCTGTGTTTCCGGAAGCATTGTATAGAAGAAGACCCAAGCCAACACTCCAATTCCAGCGTAAAGAAAGAAGGCCCCGCCAATCGTGATGGCCTTGTACAAGGAAAGAAAAGTCATGGAGATGATGCCACTAATCACCCTGTTAACGGCCACTCCCAAACTGACTCCTTGCGCTCGCAGCTTTAGCGGGAAGATCTCAGAGCTGTAGACCCATGTGATGGGCCCCAGTCCGATAGAGAAAAATGCAACGTTGAATAGCACCATGGTGATGCACAATGCGACGGCCCACGGGATTGTGCTGTCGTGATGATCGACGATCGTAAGCGCCGCACCGAGACACGCAAGGGAAAGTATCATTCCACCCATGCTGGTCAAAAGCAATGGGCGTCGTCCAACCCGATCAAGGAGAAATGTGGCGATGAAGATGAAAATGGTCTTGATGAATCCAACGGCCACGGTTGCCAGTAGCGTGTGCTCGTAAGAGGTGATCCCGGCCTTCGCAAAGATCCTTGGGCTGTACAAAACGACAGAGTCTATGCCCGTGACTTGTTGAAAGAAATGGATACCAAGGGCTGCGATTAAAATGTGAAGAACGGCCGGTGTGGGATGAAGGATCAGTTGTCTCCATACACCTTCGCCGTGGCTTTGTTTCGTGACCGAAACAACGTCGTCGTTTAAGTGCATGGGGATGCCTGCAGCTTCTTTGATGTCGTCTAGCCTGAGTTGAGCCTCTTCTTTGGAAGTTGAGGTTTTGTCGAGAACTCGCTTGGCATCCCCGAGTCGTCCCTGCATGACGAGCCAACGAGGTGACTCGGGCATGGCTAAAACGCCGACGGCGAGAACCACCGCTGGAAGTGCACCGACGCCGAGCATGTACCTCCAGCCCAAGTTGGTTGGGAGCTTGGAGAAGGCATAATTGGATACGTACCCCAATAATATGCCAAGATTGACAAACACCTAGACATATATATATATATATATATATTTTCAAATAAACAAATTAATCAATTAGTAAAAATTCCACATCTACTGTCCGAAAATAAATATACATACACAATTAATCACAACTCTTTTTTCTTAATTAATTTTGTTTTTGGATTTGATTAATCTAAAACAAAATATACATAATCCTTTGTAGCTCAAGTGGTTAAAGTAGTTGCAGCTGAGGTCTTGTGTTCATATCGCCCTCGTCAATATTACTTGTATAAAATGAGTGGAAAAAAATTGAAGCAAAATATAAAGCATGAGGTACTTGTGGAATCTAATTACCAAAAAAGAAAAATAATGTAAAGTAAAGAGACAAATAATGAAACAAAACAAACCTCTGGGAAAGATGTGAGGAAGCCACGAGACAACGTCGGAGAGATCTCGACGGTGTAGACTGGGGCGATCATGAGACCGTAGCCGACGCCGATTCCAGCGACGAATCGGCCAAACATGAGGAAGGCGTAACCGGGAGCGAGACCCATGAGGAGAGCTCCGACAAAGAAGATGACTCCAGAGAGGACAACGGTGTACCGGCGGCCGATCCAATCAGAGGTTCGGCCGGCCAAGGCGGAGCCAATGAGGGAGTAGATATTTAGAGTGCCCGCAAGGACTGCGATTTCGGTGTCGCTTAATTTGAGGTCATTTTGGATGAAGATATTCGCCCCACTCATTACACCAATATCTGTGTACACAAAATTAATATAATTAAACCACACTCCAGTACAATTCATGCACTTTTCCCTCAAGGATTGTGATTAAAAATAATAAAAATAATAAAACAAGCGCCAACTTCATGCTGACTATTTTCGGGGGCTAACAACAATTAGGAAAGAAAAAAAAAAATTTATTTGGCTCATGAATTTTGAAGAACTGAGGGTGCAAAGGATAATTACCATAACCCAATAAGATTGAAGTCGTGCAAGCCAAAATGGCGCAGGCTATAGCGAACTTGTTTGTCTTGGGTTTCTGTGGGGGATCGAAGTCTGCAATACGATGGTCGTTCTGGAGTTGGCCGGAGACAGCATTGTCTTCTACTCTTCGGTCAGCCATTTTGATAGTTGGATGGAGAGAGAGAGAGAGAGAGAGAGAGAGAGAGAGAGAGAGAGAGAGGAGTGATCACTTATCAATAAGCGATGAGGGAGAGAGAGAGAGAGAGGAAGAGAATATATAAGCTGACTCTTAACCTATAGAAGTTGTATGGTTTCTATCCGTTTGCTGGAGCTGTTGTTGTTTTGGGCTGGTGCCTGAGTTGGTTTTGTTTTTGGAAACAAATTCTGGTTTCTATTAGCGGCGCCAATCAAATGGGATTGACTTCTTGACATCTGAACAACAGAGAAGCATGAAGACACAAATGGATTAAAGGTCATGACAGGTTTCTTTTTGTGAGAAAAACAATAATGACCCAAAATGGAAGAAAATAACAAAAAGGGCCAACTGTTCCTTCGTTAGACATGGATATATTAATTCTTGATCCCAAAAAAAAAAAAAAAAAAATTCCACTTGGATATATTAACTGATCTCATTCTGGGAGCACATGGGGTTGGTTGGTCCTCATGGACCGATCCATTCAGCTTTATCTGTGGCCGTCAGGATAAGTTGCAGCATAACTAACTGCCTTCCACCCAATAAATATTTGTGTAAACTCTCCCCTTCCACCCAATTAATCTAGTTTCGCCCATGCTTGGGGAAATAAGATTTTGTGGTTATGGTGTGAAAGTTGGGAGTTTTTTGACATTCACTTTTCAACTTGAGCGGGATTGTTGAGAAGTCAACCGAAACCCAAAATATTAGGGATATTGAATTATCCGTAGAGCCATTGTATGTCTAACAAATCTCATGTTTCACATACTTGTGCATGACTCACTCTTGACTTCATTTACTTATAAAAAATATAGTCCTCACGATAAATATGTAAATAAAGAAATAAGAAAAGAGAACAATAAAACAAAAAAAACAAAAAAACAAAAAAGGAAGAATTATGGGGTCATAGCTTTGCGAATCAATTTATGCAACCAGAATAGTAGAATTGTATGACATTCTATCACATAAAAAACACAAATATTTATGTAATTCACTCAACTCAATTCAAGCGGTGAAATATGTCAGAATTAGTTTGTATTTAATTGTGACGGGAGTCTTATAATAACAATTGAGTAGGGGAGGTTTTATTATTGACCAAATGCTTCAAGAGCCAAGTGTTGCCAGTCTCCCCTGTAGGTGTAATAATTATTGACCAAATGTTTTTGCCCGATATTGTTATAAATCTTTGAATTGGGGGTTTCTTTGTAACATTTATTTATTTTTTAGGTCAAAAATCTCAATTAAATTTAAATATTATAAAAATTATCTTTTAGTCTAATACAGCACCAAACATAGGTTTTTACTATTTTTACAATCTAGCTTCTTAGTCCGACGCAGCACCAAACGTAGGTCAGTACTTAATCCAACTTAAGCCAATTTGAGCTAATCCGAGACAGTCCCATGATTTAGTATAGTCCATGACAGTCCGCCGTGCCAAACAACCCCTCATTTCCTTACTTTGGCCACACACAAAATGACCAATACTAATTTCTATGGCTGTGTTTGTATAAAACTATATTTTCTTGATAAAATCAAACATCTTATTTATATTTTGATTAACTTTAATTGCTTACGAATTTCTTCCTCTTATCCTTTTTTAAGGACCTTTCTTACTGAGAAGGGCGATAGTATACTAAACTCACACACACTACACAGATGCCAGGACTCGAACCCAAAACTTTGTCTGAGAGAGTAATTATTCCAAACAACTACATTAGTTGGTCCTTTTCTTTTTCCCCTCACCTTAAGCATTGCTTCCTTGATGCAATTTATCAAACAATTTTTGTTGACGTGAGTTAACCTAACAAATCAAGGAGATTTATTTCCTAAGTTAATTAGGTGATTTACTTCCTTGTTTTCATATAGTTCACAATCCTTGTATAATTAGGAGATATTCTCCTAATTAATTACTGTATCTATTACCTTATAAAGCAACCTTGTAAACTCCTATATATACCTCTTTATAGAGAAGAATACAATTAACCTAAAGTATTCAACCATATTCATATTTTAGCAATTTTTTCCTTCCTATGTTAAGGAATGCTATACATTGCTTATTATGTAAGTAGCAAAAATAATTATTTACCGAAAAAAGAAGTGACAACAGCTAATAAGGAAATATTTTTGCTCACCACTTTAACCCAAGGCGTACACTATTCTTAACACTTGACACGTGTTTATGAGCCTAACCATAATTAACTCTTTGTTTTGTATTTGTAGAACTATGATTATGTTCATGGACACATATCAAGTGTTGAGAAGGGTGGTGATGATACACCTTGCATTAAAGTGGGAGCAATTTTGCTCACCACTTTAACCCAATGTGTATCCTCACCACCTATTTTAAAATTTAACACATGTCACTTAACTCTTTGTTTTGAATTCTTTTAAAATATTTAAAACAAACAAATAAAGTAAAATGATAATAAAATAACATATAAAAAAAACTCTCCCTCCTTCTCTTGCCCCTTCCCAACCCACACAATGAGGCCCTATATTCTCTACCGCCAACCGTCCACCATTCTCATCTTAAGTTACACCGAATCCTAGCCAAGAAAGATGGAGGACATAGGGTTTAGGTTTTATCATACTGGCCTTTTATAAAAGAAACAAAAACGGTTATTTACCCCAAAAAACAAATTTTATTATGACATTTAATAGGCTTATGTGTTTAAAAGAAGCAAGAAGGTTTATGAATGTTTTCTTCCTTAAAAAAAACAGTTTCTGTTAAAAAACAGTTACTAAATGGTTGCTGTTTCTTAGTTTCTCTGATCATCAGGAAAAGGGATGGTATACCAAACTAGACTTCTGTTTTTGAAACAAAAACTATAAACTGTTTTTGTTTTTTGTTGAAACCTGAAAATGTTACCGAAGGGGTCTTAAGAACATGAATCTCCTGTAACACCTGAACATCCTACCCCTCTCTCTCTCTCTCTCTCACATACACACACACACATTGCCAGCACAACCAGAATAGTCGAGGGACACGAGTCGGGATATCTCAGGAATCAGAACCAGTCCTAGCCCTTGAAAATTGAGGTCAGTTTAACACTCTTATTATCCTATAGAAAATCTTAATTAATTCATTTCAATAATGTTGTTCTCTCTCATATAGGGTTAAGAAGTCAATTGCTTGGCCTTGGCTTAAAACTCTAACATGGTTCTTCTCTGATAATTTGTTGCACTTTTCTTTTCTCCTTAATTTTCCTATAAATTAATTTGGTGTAGTTGCATTTATATGTCTCTCTTGCTATATATTACAAAGTTTAATTTGTTCTACTCTAATCATTGCATGTCTATGGCTGCCTTGAACACACTTCATTTTCTATGTATAAGATTGGTATTATAAGCTTTTTAATTTTGTTGATTTATAATGTTTTAGGATTATTTTGAAGCTCTCATGGAGGGAGGTGATGATACTTGTGGTTTTGAATGCAACATCTGCCTGGCCTTAGCTCAAGACCCAGTCATAACACCCTGTGGCCACCTATACTGCTGGTCTTGTTTGATGAAATGGCTTTTCAAGTCACATTCCAATAATGAGTGCCCAGTTTGCAGAGCTGAAATAGAGCTCAGCCAATTGATCTTCTCCAATGCAAAACTCAAATCACCTTCAGATTCAAGATCTGGGTTTGAATGCAACATTTGCTCTCAGCTAGCTCAGGACCCAATTGTCACTCTTTGTGGCCACCTTTACTGCTGGACTTGTTTGAACAAATGGCTTCACAAATGGAACTCAAATTCCACATGTTGGGTTTGCAAGGATGTTATAGAGGAGAACAAGGTGGTGCCTCTTTATGGAAAAGGGACCAAATCACACTATGTTTCGGGTCCCGGATCTTGGTCGGTACCAGCGGGTATTGCCGGCACTGCTTTGAGTCTCAGAGTGAGCCGTTTTGTTCAGCTTGTGTTTGCTTCCATTGGAGCTTTGTTTTGGTTTGGTAGACGAACCATGGAGATTTTCATGACAAGGGTTTTGCCAGTTATTGCAATTCTTGTGATATTACATCCCTCTTTGCCAAGGGAGAGGAAAAATGACTTGGTGGAGAAGGTTTTGGTTTTCAGTTTGTGCTCTTGGGTCACTCTGGTCATTTGGGATGTCCTAAATGGGAACATTAAACGACATCAAAAACTGGTACATTAAACCCTAGCTTGGAATTGGGATTTGCATTCGTACATCATGTGTCTGCCTCTTGATACTATATCAAGAAAAATAATGATCTCAAAAGAATTCAGTGTTTGATATATGGAAAATACTAAGCTTATTACATTTTTATATCACATTGTGTACCACCTCTCTAATATTGGTGGTCTCCATCTCTATTAAAGAGGTGATACACAATGTAGTATAAAAATGTAGTAAGCCTAGCATTACCGAAGATTTGAAGGATATATCTATTATCTCAAGTATGTTCTTAGATCATTATGTGCTGGAGTTGATTATTCGGTTGCACCATTCGTAGTGAGCTGTATGAGATCTTATTGTTTGGATGGAGGTTATTCCTCTTTTGTTGGAGCCTTATCTCCAAGATGACTTGGATACATGTCTTTGCTTAGTTGTTAAATGAAATTACGTAAAGACATTTGTTTTTCTAATGGTGTTAAATGAAATTAGGTAAAGGCATAGTTGCTCCGGATTCACCATTGATTTTTAATATTTTAGTGTGATAATTAAACATCCACACAGTGTCATCAATTTAGTCATATTATAACTAACACGTATATATGTTAATTTATACTCTACATTAGGTTCATAATATACAACCGAGACATCCACCTATATCATAGTACTTGAATTCATAACGTTATGTAATAGTGCCATCGTCATACCCAAAAATATTTATTATAATAATATAATTGTGTTTTGAATGCAATAATGTACGTAGTAGTACGCATAAGTGCTCCACGCTCCTATTTTATTTTTCATTTTTGGCAAAGTAGGCACGGTTTTCTTTTCTTTTTTTAAAAAATATTTTTTTTTGGTTATTAAATAAATCAATTGAGTATAGGGGATTATTATGACCAAAAAAAAAATTGAGTATAGGGGATTTGGAATAATGTTACAATAAAATAATAAAAATATCTCCTTTCCGGATAAACTACCAAAACTACGGGTCGTTACGCCTCACAGTCCCTCAACTGACACAGTTGCTTTGGAGCTGATAACACTCCAGCTCTCACGAGTCTCCAACAATGGAGGCTCTAAATCTAAACCCCACCACAACCCCCAAATCATGTCTACCCAAAACCTATTTCCTCAAAGCCCCTCTACTCCCCTGCACCTTGAAACCCACATTTTCTCCCCACAATTGTCAAATTCACAGACATTCATTCAAGAAGACACCTTTCTCATTCACCACCGCTTGTAAGCTGAAGACCCCTCGAGATAACAAGAAGAACAACACCAAAAGCAACAAAATTGCCAAGCAGATTATACTCTCTGAAGGAGAGCCGCCTCCGTTGGCGGAGGAGAGTGGCGGCGCCGGCGGAAGCGAGGAAGCTCCGGCGAAGTTAGGAAGTGGGAGTGGAGTAATGGGTTTGGTGAAGAGGTTGCCCAGAAGGGTTTTGTCAGTTTTGTCTTATCTGCCTTTGGCTATTGGAGAAATGTTCGCCATTGCTGGTCTTATGGCTCTGGGTAAGTTTTGAGTTTTGGGTTTGCTATCTTTATTTACATAAGCATTTAATTATTTTTTGTTATTCTTTTGTTAATCGGGATTACTTGCTGATGCTTAATGCTTGTTAGTAGTTGCTTTTAATTTGCTTAAGTAAATGACAGTTAAGAGTTTCTTCAAGGTAGCTTGTTTCCTCAGCTCATACTTTATATTTTCTTAACAAATATAGCTTAAACAAATGCTTTTGTTTCTTAATGCACCTAATGATACTCATGTTCAAGAGAATAATTTATCATGTTTTCATGACATTATGTCTTGTATTATGTCTTGTTGATGAGTTGTTATAAAGATAGATTTTTTTTTATCTTCGGACAAAATTGTAAGTAGGCGTTCTGGCAATGCAATGCTTCTGCAGGAACTTTCATTGACCAAGGTGAGGCCCCGGATTTCTATTTCGATAAGTACCCTGAAAGTAATCCGGTGTTGGGAATTTTCACTTGGAGATGGGTTCTTACCCTTGGGTTTGACCACATGTTCACATCCCCCATTTTCCTTGCACTATTGGCTCTCCTCGGTGCATCACTAATGGCCTGCACTTACACTACACAAATACCCCTTGTCAAGGTTGCAAGAAGGTTTGATTTCTTTTTTTAGTTTACTTCATAACCCCAAAGTGAAAATGAGGTGGGCACCACCCTATTAACCAATAATTTAATTGGTAAAAACAGATGGAACTTTTTGCAATCTTCTGAGGCCATCAATAAGCAGGAATTTTCAGAGTCTTTGCCAAGAGCATCAATTCAAGATTTGGGTGTTGTTCTTATGGGAGCTGGATATGAGGTTATATACTTTCATATTCTTCATCTATTTCTTCCTTTTTCTTTTCTCTTTCTTTCTTTCTCTTTTTTTTAAAGTTCCTTTTATTTTTATTTTTATTCTTATGGATTTTTAACATCTTTAACTTTCTAGTTTCTACGATTAGTTTACACATACTTAACTAGGAAATATTATAATCTGAAAACAATGTGACAGACAAGGTTACAGGCAATATGGTCCTGTATGAATGAAGTAACATGTCTTGAAGATGTTCTTTTTAACTTTACTGGTAGCTGGACAAATTGACACTTTTCTGTCTATTCTAAGCAAAATGGATTATAAGTGTATCCCTATGTGTTTTGTGTTTCTCATTTACTGATAATAGTTTAATCTAAATTGGCATTAGATATCACCTTGCATATGTTAATACTCCCTTCTGAATTTTAGTTCCTTATATTTATTATTTATTGCTACCTGTTCAGTGTGGATGGCTTCATCCTTTCAGGTATTCTTGAAGGGGCCTTCTTTATATGCTTTCAGGGGGTTGGCTGGTCGGTTTGCCCCTATTGGAGTACATTTAGCAATGCTGCTAATAATGGTAGGTGGAACTCTTAGCGCAACTGGGAGCTTCAAAGGAACAGTCACAGTTCCACAGGGTTTAAATTTTGTTATAGGAGATGTGATGGGCCCAATCGGGTTTCTCTCTAAGCCAACTGAGGCTTTCAACACAGAGGTTCATGTCAACAGATTCTACATGACCTACTACGACAGTGGCGAGGTGAATGTTTATGTTTATGTCTATGTTTGTTAGCGGAAATATATATATATATATATAAAGAGTGGAAACTTTTCGCTACAAATGTATTTTCTGTTTTGGAAATTGATCAAGAGGCTTCCTGAAGATGTTCTCCATTTTATTTGCTTTGTGCCATCTTAACTCTGGCATGTTCTTATGATGATCTTTATAATGACATAATCACCTCCCAGCTGTGCTTGCTCGGTACTGCCAAATGCTTAGGTGGTTTACCTTCTCACGCCCTTGTTTATGTCACAGGTATCACAATTTTACACTGATCTTTCGCTACTGGACCTTGAGGGTAAGGAGGTGCTAAGGAAAACAATCAGTGTAAATAACCCTTTAAGGTATGGAGGGATCACCATATACCAGACAGATTGGAGTATTTCAGCGCTACAAGTACTTAAGGATAATGAAGGACCTTTTAATTTGGCGGTGGCACCTCTTAAGATCAATGGAGACAAGAAGCTTTATGGAACCTTCTTACCCGTTGGAGATGTTAATTCTCCTGATGTTAAGGGAATGTATGTGATTGTCTTACAGCTATGTCTTCTTGTACCAAAGTAGATAGCTTAACTCCAAATTGTTTTCTTATTGGTGTTTTGAACAATTACCCAAGGCTGAATTGGGATGGAGAGCCTTTAAAACTCTTTTTACAGATTGATTTATTTCCCCTGCCCCTTCATTCTTATAGAAAGGAGAAGATTATTGTTTCTGGCTGTTGCTTATCTACACTCTTTTCTGTAATTTCAGATCAATGCTTGCCCGTGATCTACAATCAATTGTCCTGTATGATCAAGAAGGGAAATTTGCTGGAATTCGACGGCCAAGTTCCAAGCTTCCAATTGAAATTGATGGCACCAAAGTTGTAATTGTAGATGCAATTGGGAGTAGCGGTCTTGACTTAAAGGTGACAACTAAACATCTTTAAATACAAAAAGAAATGTGCAAATTTCTTCACCTGCATCCATTCAGCGTTGAAACTAAACCTTGTTCTTATCAGACTGACCCGGGAGTGCCGGTGGTATATGCTGGATTTGGTGCGCTAATGCTCACTACTTGCATCAGTTTTCTGTCTCATTCACAGGTCAGTGTTGTGTGTTTATAAACCAGAAAACATGTAGCCCTCTTTTCATGACGATTCAAATGCTTTATATTTGTCTTCATCAAGCAGGTTACATGTAATTTGGTGTCATCAAGTGTGCACTCTCTCTATTATAGTGGAATTTGTTTATTGTTGGATCTTATAGAATCTTATGGACTTTACATTGTGGTCGATACCTACTATGATTGGTGAAGACCTATCATAGTTGGTTTGGGTGCCTATATGTTACATTGATATTGCTTATTGTTACCATTATTGAAAGTGTTCCCCCAGATTATTCTTATATGCTATGTTCTTTGTTTTCTCCTCTGCTCAAACAAAAGATATGGGCCATACAAGATGGAACAGCAGTGATCGTAGGAGGAAAAACTAACCGAGCAAAGGGTGAATTTCCAGAGGAGATGAACCGCTTACTCGATCGGGTTCCAGAATTAGTTAACTCGTCTCTTTCCAGGCAGTCAGATAGCATTGTTGGCTAGTTTCTGGGGCATCTAGATGGAATGGAAGAGCAGGATTAGATGCTGCTCTTCTGGCTAGTGAAGTAAAAATCCAGATATTGCTCCCATCTAAAATGATTTTCCAGTACAAACGAAAAGAGAGAGAATTCATTACTCATTTATGAAGCACAATTTGACAGATCGGTGGAGCAGTTCCTATACTTTATTCATCCAAAAATTATTTTTCGAGGCACAATTCAACACAGAGTGACCAGTTGAATTTGCTTTTGAATGTATACATACCAGCACTATACATGATTCGTATTGTGGTTCCCAGGCAAAGTCCAAGTTTTAAAATTGTATGTATTTATATGTTGTATAGTTGCTTCTCCTACAAGTATTGAACTTAGTATACATATTGTAACAGTTCCGCATTTGTCGGATTCGAAAAGGGTACCATTCTTTACACAGACTTGGCTTCCATCCTTTCGTTTTGTTTTTCAGTTCTTTCATCCTTTCGTTAGTGAGACCAAGTGTTGCAAATATATTGCTTTTGTTTGTCAAGATGATTGCACATTTCCTCTCACAGAATTCGCTTTTTAGTTGCAAATTAGGCCTAATTTCGAAAAGGAGGTTGGTTAGTTCACTTTTTTTTCCTTTTCTTACCAAGATGATATGCGTCACTAATCGAATTCGGGTTTTCTCTGACATATTATTGGTAAGGACTTGATATGCTCCACATGAACTTCTCACCAATGACAAATAGTTGCTCTGCATATCAGGAAGGCGTTCCAGAAATAAAACCTTGACCTCTGTATCATATAAGTTAAGCAATTACATTTCTAGGGTCCTGGAGCCTTACAACATAAAGATACAGTAAGGACTTTCATCTTGATTATACAATTATAAAGCTGTGATGAACTGGGCTACTGTGTAGTGATGATGCCTAACTTAGATTATGCTAGTTGAAGGGCTTCTTCACGCTTGAGGTCGAAAACCCTGATAAGAGTGTCTTCAACAACCTGGGAAAAACCCGAACGGAAATGATCAACTATCAAGCTAAGAAGTAAAAGCATTGGCAGATAATATGAATTCACATAGCTTGCAACAAAAGCCGTTCAATGGTTCAAATAACATTCACAAAGATGAGAAATACCTTATCTGGAGTAGATGCACCAGATGTCACACCAATTGTGATAGGACCTTGAGGAAGCCAGTTCTCTTTCTCAACCAACTCGCCGTGCTATACAAAATACATGATAGACAGTTATGGTATGTACAAAAGCCATACCAAAATAAAAACAACAACTGAATGTAAAATAATCTTGTAAAGCACAACAATCTAAATTGGAATTCTGTCTTTACAGACTCACATTGAGTTTATAAGCTATTCTGTTTCCAGGGCCTATTCTCTTCTCGCTGTCAACCCAATATGAGGGAATTCCACGCTCTTCTGCAATCTCTTGTAGGTGAGAGGTGTTACTCGAGTTCCACCCACCAATGACTAACAAAAGATCTAGCTTTTCCTCAACAAGCTTGTACATTGCATCTTGTCGCTCCTGTACAAGGAACAGACAGATCACCTTTAAGTCTCACTAAATATAAAGTAACTCTGCGTTCATGCTCATTGGCGAACTAGCTTCACAAGGGTGTGCACATGGCTGCTGCTATGGAGTATTAAAAATGCATTTCTTTTTCTTTCTTGGTTATTTTTATAAAAACAATCTTACATAAGGATGAAAGGCAAGATATGGTACACAATGCTCTACAACTCTAGCGAGAAAAACATTGAACCGAGGAAACAACTTACTTGAGTCGCATCACATATTGTGTTGAAGCTGACAAAGTGATCATTGATATTTTCCACTCCGTGCTTACGCATCATGGTCTTCTCAACTAATTTTCCTGTTAGATTGATCGATGCAGTCAATAATCTACACCTACTAATCTATTTGCCAAACGATGGACCAACATAGCATAACAAAAAAAACTAACCAATCTCTTCTGTCTCCCCCTTAAGCATCGTAGTCTGATTCGCAATGCCAACTTTTACTAGGTCTCTGTCCGGATCAAACCCCGGAGAAAGTGCCTTTTTAAATTTCTGCATTCAAAGCAAATCAAAAACACTTTCAAGACTGCATGATGCACAAAATATTAACAGACCCATTTGAATTCATATAAGCAACAAAAAGAAAAATTCACCTCTAGAAACGCCTCTCTAGTTGAGCTAGACCCATTCAGTTCACCACCAAGAATAAAGTCACACACATATGTTGCCTGAAAAAATATTTAAACCAATAGCATCACTACACAAAACTTGAAGCTGAAAACTTGAAGAATGCCAACAAATGACAAAGTACAAAACTTGTATACCTCATCCATGTTTTTCACTATAACGTACTTCCCAGCAAAAGAAGCAGTAGCTACAGTTTCCTCATGAGCATATTTACCATGAATTATTGATGTGTAGTCTCCTTTCTTGTGCTTCTCCACAGTATTCCAAACCTTCACACCAAAAGACCCACACTACGAATCAGACCCAATTTTTATTTTTTTCAATTTCTGGGAAAACTTAAAATAAAATAAAACACCAAACCTTGGAAACCCATGGGCAAGTAGTGTCAACAATTTGAACATCTCTGCTACTCAAATTGAGCATCTCATCCACTCCGGCTCCAAAAGCAGGCAAAATGACCACATCACCCTTGTCCACCACCTCAAATTGCTTCTGCCCTTCCTCTATTGGGATGTTCTCCACCTTCATCTCTTCCAATCGCTGCCCAGATTCATCTTAACTTAATTAGATACTGTAAACAAAGTAAACAAACTGAATATGAAAAAAATAAAAATAAAAAGAGACCTTATTGACCGTTGGATTGTGGATGATCTCGTTTGTAATCCAAATCTTTTCATCAGGAAACTGCTTTCTGGCCTCGTAAGCAATCTGGACGGCTCTTTCAACGCCCCAACAGAAGCCGTACGCCTCGGCGAGCTTCACCGTCACATTTCCCCACGTGTACTCGAACCCGTTCTCCTTCAACGTCTTTATAATATCACCTGAAAAATAAAAAATTCAAAAACTCAATTAATTCAGACAAAAAAAAAAACATTCCGTGGAGATATAGCTAAAAGCTAACTATAGCTTACTGGTGTACTCGCGATTCATGAGCTCGAGGGTCGCGTCTTTGTGGCCGAAGCCTCGGCGATTGTAGTTCTTGCTTCGAGTGAGGTTCTTCCGGAAGACCTTGGCGTCGAAATCGGACTCGACGGCAGCCGAAGAGGACGAGTCGCCGGAGCATCGGACGGAGATGACTTTCCGGCGACTCAGAGAGACCTTTCCGGCGAGGCTTTCGGACAAGAAGAGATCGGTGCGATACGGAAGGCGGCAGAGGTGGAGAGTGATCGCCATGGCAGAGAGAGGGAGAGAGAGAAGGAAAGGCGCGTGGAGAGAGAGAGACTGGTGGGATTGGCACTCGTGGTGTTCGTTTTATCTACAGTCCAACAATGTGCTTGTGCTCCATGAATATTTCGTGTTTTTATATAATTATTTGTTTATTATGTGTTTTTTTTCTATTTTGGAAGCTTGTCGTTTTACGGAGAGGATCGGATTTATGGGTCGTAGTTTCGATTCTGAACGGCATATGCGTACATGTCAAATTACTGAAAGGGCCAGGTGATAAGCACCTTGCTTTGGAATGTACCATCAAATTTGTAAACACAATCAATGGCTCTTACCATTTGAACAAAATGGGACAGAAAAAAATTTGTGGATTTAGAAATTTATCTAACAATTCGTTCGCTCCAAGACAAAAAGGAAAGACGTAGAAGTATTTGGTTAGGCCTTTTATGGAAGAAACGATATAATTTATTATTTTCAAAAAGGAAGCCAAGTACAATTTTCAAAAAGGTCATGTAAAAAGTTGCACAATTACAATTTTCAGAGGAATTAAGTAATTTTTTTGGAGTAATTGTAGTGTGTATTGAAGTATGACCACATGGTGTATCATGAGCTCGGGTTGCTTTTTTATAAGTAATTGTAGTGGGAAATATCATTCATGTTGTCAACACGTGAATATATTAATTCATGTTACAGATGAAAGAGCTCTGAGTAGCTATGAATATAACCGAAATCTTAAATATTATTGATTTCAGAAATATCGATAGTTCAAAAACCTGGAAATATCAACAAACTATCGATAAGCACATGATAATTTGCTATTCTTAATATTTAACAACATTAATATTTTACACTTTATACATTGCATTCATTTGAAATTCTGGCTTCAATTCAGCTTCCATGCTAGTTGCAGGCATTCTTGACGCTTGATGTCGAACACCCTAATAAGAATGTCTTCAATGACCAAATGGAAAATATGAAAGATGAAGCTAATTGAGACGATAAACAATTTAGGCAGTTGGAAATTACCTTATCTGGAGTAGAGGCACCGGCTGACACCTATAGTAAGAGGACCTTGAGGCAGAAAGTTCTCTTCTCAATGCCAACATAATAGGAGGGAATTCCATGACTTTCTGCAATCTGACGTAGGCGAGACGTGTTTCTTGAGTTCCATCCACCAACCGCTAAGAAAAGATCTATCTTTTCCTTAACCAGCTTGGACAATGCATCTTGTCGCTCCTGTAAAAGGAAGACAGACAAATCACACCTTTCAGTCTCAAAAACATGTATGGCTTTCTGCGGTTTAAGGATGTCCTTATTTAAGAAAGTTAAGAGAGAGATGTAATCTAATGATCATCAGGGTTTACTTCTGGGTTTTCTTCTAAGGATAAATTGTTTAGCAATTTGATTCATTATTCTTATTTTCGTTTTGGTCAATCCAACAAACTATACATTGTTTTTTTGTTCGTTTTTCACATTTTAAATGACCAAACAGTCTTTGAAAATGACTACATATTGTTTTGATTGTTGACTTGTATTGTGAGTAGGTCCAACCGAGGATGTGTGCACTTTTTTTTTTAAATAAAAACATTATTAACATAGAAAACTTCCTTAACTATACTGGTAATTTAAGAGTAATAAAGCAGCAGACGTAGGTTAGGTCAGTTGGTCAAAACATTGATTATAACATGATTATATCATTAATCACATATCAAAATAGAAGGTAATATTGTTTCATGATCTTAATATAATTTTGAATAAAATTAAATGTTATGATTATAATAATAAAAAATGCACTCATGGTCATGGATGCACTTCTAATTTATTAACTATATATACCAAGATTTATTTTAAATTGGTCAACGGAATTTTGTTTTCTTTACAAAATTTGAATTACCAAACAATTTTAATTCTTTTTAAAATTAATTATATGATACTTCAAGAAAGTTTGTAACCGTATAAGACTCATAAAATTGTATTAAGTTTACAAAAGATTTGGACAAGCCAAATGACGAGTCTGCCATATGTTGTCAGGTGGGTTGAGTTGAGTTACTTTCAAATAGTATTCGATTA